TAGATGGCCAACTCGATATTAATATTAAGTTTTATTTCATTTTTTTTTATTTATATTTTGTTGATCATCATCATTTTCGTCGGGTTTTGGATTTTTTTAACTAAAAATTTTTTAGACGTTTTGAGAGTATCAAAATTTACATGCATATTCATCAAAACCTAAGCTACATTTTGAAAAAATTTTATATATAGTTATTATGCGCGTTTTTGTATAATTAGCAAAAACAGGTGTCCGGATACTTTTGTCCAGGGAGTGTATATGTAGTCTAAAAGCCTATTAGTAAATGATATTCTTCTAAAATTAATCATATTTGTTAGTTAATTATTTATTGGCTTAATTTAATAAACCAATAACTCTTTTATATTGTAATTAAATTATTGGGCTAAAATAATATCATAATCTTGAGTAGTAGTTAGGTTTCTATTCAAATAAGGTTTACTCGAATAAAACAAACAATTTGAGTAAAAATAATTCGAATAAAATAATAATAGTAATTTGAATAAAAGCGAATTAAACGAATTAAACGAATAATAAATAAAGAGAATTAAAGGAATTAAACGAATTAAACGAATAAAAGCAGATAAAACGAATAAAACGAATAAAGCGAATTAAACGAATTAAACGAATTAAACGAATTAAACGAATAAAAACGAAATTCGTATCATGAATAGAAACCATTCATTAATATTAAAATCAAAAAACAACAATAAACAAACAAACAAATAGCTTTTATTGCGAAATAATTAATTTTGTTCACTTGGTGTTAATGATTGAATTGATCACACAAGCAGTAGTCAATTTAAACAGCATTATTTTTAAAGAATTTATTCAAAATATTTATTTTAAATGTATAAAGTTTAATGATTTTTAATGTTGCAAAAATTTTTGATCATCAATCTCAGTCCTTTAAAGTTTCTTTATTCTTTTTTTTATAAATAATAGATTTATCCTTTTGTTTATTTGTTTTAATAGATTCAAATAGATTTCATTAGATCAAAATGGTGCACTACAGCAAATTTCAGAGAATCAATTATGCAAAAACACACATAATAAGTATATATATCTTCTAGTCTAGATCCTGTAGAATATGCATGCAAAATTTTCGTGTTTTCTAATTTTTGCTGCCATTATTATTTATTAAATTGAAATTCATTATTTCAAAAAAGAAATAATCTATAGGACCTAGTACTAGTACTAGGACATAAACCACATAGTCAACCCCGTTAATCCGTTTAAAATTAGTATTTATATTTAGGTTTAACAAATTTGGTTTAACGGGGTTGTATATGTAGTTGTGTACTTTATTATTATATTTTTTAAAGGATTCGTTTATTAAAAATGATGACCGTTTACAAAAAAATTCAAAACAACATAGACGTTTATTCAAGACACGTATTATCATATTTCAAAACCTCGGATGAAGTTATTATACGCGTTTTTGAACAATTGATTTTTTTCAAAGCAAGCATTATTTTGACAAATAAATTTTGGTCAAAGTTTTATTTTTCCTATTGTGTTATATAGTTCAATAAAAGCATTAGAAAATACAAACAATTTGATGAGTCTAAGCTGCAAAGTAGTGGTTTTTATTTAATTATTATCAAGTATGTTTTCGTACAACTAATTTTTAAACATGTGCGCGACTTTTGTCCATGTAATTTATAATGAATGTGCGAATGTGAATGTACGAGTGAGCGGGAAGCAAATAGTTGTGATTGGATATACATGTATAGATAATAGATGAATAGATAAATGGAGATATACACCCGCTGTACCAAAAGAGATCTTATCAAGAAATTGTTCTCCTAATTCTTCAATGTTTCTTTTCTATATCTCTAATACTATAACTATCAATTATCATTTTCGTAAAAATGCAAACACCAACTTTGTCCAAACGAAGCCATTCTTGTAGAAGAGACTATTAGAATATTAGATACAATGACAATCTTTGTTGTCAACAAATTGGGGAAATTTTATAATTACAAAATATAGAAAGCAAATTATGTGGAAAATATCAATCGATAAAAAAAATGTTTTTAAATGTTTAAAACCAACTCATTTTCGTTGTTATTTTTTTTATAACAAGTTGTTGCTATAAGGGGCGAAGTTCATAACCTTGATTCAAAAAAATCAGGAACTCCATGTGAATGATTCAATTTAGATCCAATCTTAATTTTAATTTGTCCTAAAACCCCATCAAAGTAGGTATCTTGATCTGGGTGGTCAACACTTACCGCAGATACAGCACAACTGCCTTTGAATCCTGGCCACCAATTGCTCTGATTTGGCTCCTCTAATTCGTAATGAATGGACTGTAAGCCTTCCTGATAAACCAGCTCACAGTATGATTCTTTTTATCATTATGATCGCTTCAACAGCAACTACAGTTAACTTTTTCCGCTTTTAGACAAAAGCAAAAACTTATTATCAACGGTTTGCTTACATACAATGATATATTTCTGCAGCAACAACAAGGCTGGGCAATATTCACCTTCGGCTCTTTCAACTAAATTTTCCATAACACATAACCATCATCATATATTGGATATTTTAAAAGGATAGACCTCAAATCACAGATGATGCGCCCAAATTTAATTGTCGGGATCGTGATCAACAAAATAGATCATCAATAGCCGAAGAGATTCGTGATTGTTTTAAAAAATATATTCTGACAACTGGGTCTAAATTATCAATTTAGAAAAGGAAAATATTTGTCAGATGTAAAAAATAATAAATATCATTCTTTACGTCGTCTATTAAATGAATCAAATCAACAAAGCTGAATCATACAAGTGAAACAGGTTAACGGTCTATTGATTAAATAAGTGTTTTATTGTAAAGATTTGGTATTTATGTCAATGCATTTAAAAGGTGATGATGACAGAAATTAATTTATTGTTATGATTTAGTAATATTAATATTAAAATTTTTTTGAAGAAAAAAAAAGAAATTGAGAAATTGGTTATGATTTTTTATTTAAAACTAAAAGAAAAGATTAAGGAAATAATAGTTTGTAGTAAAAAAACTAATCTTTAAAATTACAAAATCTATTTAAATATTTATTATTAAACCATGTTATTTTATTTTTGTCATGTTATCTATGACATCACAATGTACTATTAATTATTATCCGTTGATAATCTGCCCATTGATATGCGAATTCCATTCTCCCGCTGATGTTTATCTTTTTACCATTTCAATATATCTTCAACCTCTGGTCCATCAAACGAACCATTTTTTGTGGCTATTATTTCACCACTAGCTATTGTTGAATTTTCTTCTTCTTGCTCTCCTCCATCTTTATAAATGGTTGATAAATGTTTCTTGATAAAATTAAGAATGTGTTTGTTCATCTGATCAAATTCGAGTAAGAATCCATCATGTCCATCTGGTGATTCAATTGTAATCATTTCTGCATTTGGAATATGATCTGCTAATTCATACTGTTCAGAAATTGTAAAAAGTCCATCAGATTTAATTCCTATTTATCAAGAATGGGGAAAAAATTATTATGAAAATAATGCAATATATTTATTTATATGAAATATATATTAATTGGTTTTTTACCTATGACCAAAGTAGGTTGTTTTATACTATTTAAAATGTCTTCCATTTTTCCATGTTTACCATAAGCAATATCATGAGTGTCCATTTTACGTGTTATATTAATATAACAATTTGCATCAAATCTTTTAACAAATTTGTCTCCTTGATATCTAAGATAAGATTGTGCAGAAAATACATGTGGTTCATCACCATTATTGTCCAATTGTCCACTATTTTTACCATTTGTATGATTATTGTTATTATCATCACTTGTTGTAATGCTTTTAACACCCTTGCCATTACAATTATTACTATTATAATTACAATTATTATTATTATTATTATTATTATTATTATTATTATTATTATTACTATTATTATTATTATTATTATTAGTACTATTACTATTATTATTACTATTATTATTACTATTGTTAATATCATTATTATTGTTATTAACACTGCTGCCACTATTTGTATTATTGTTGTTTATTATTGTAGAATTTTCATCAGATTTATCATTAAAATAATCACCATTCAAAATTTTTTCACTGCGATGACCATCATTATGAATAAGTAAAGCCTGACCAGATAATGTCGAAGGTTTGATTTTTGGAGAGCTGGCGGTAGTATTAGCAGCAGGGAATTTTGTAGGGTCATGATAATTTCTACCAAATCTTGATTCAAATGAATTACGTGATCTATAGGTTAATAAAGCTGCCATACGAGCAGCTGCAAGTCCTGTAGTTGGTGGCTAAAAAGCAATATATGTATATATAATGTAGTAAAATAATGATAACAATATATATTAACTATAATAATGATCACAACAAAATTGTTAGTTACCTCATCTGGATCATAAAATCCATCGCCTATAAGAATTAAGAGATTAGAATAAGTAATATTTTTATATTGTGATTTTTTATTTTATTGTTTTTAAAAAAAATTTTTTTATTAATATTTAAAAACAACACTTACGATATTTTGGATCACTGTAGATCGATTGTCTCTGAGCTTCGCCCCAACTTATACACCAAGCAGAATGCCGTGCAGATGTTGCAATCGGAACAATAATTTTGACATATTCTGGACCAAAAAATGACCATTCAAGTACTTGCATTCCACCCATTGATCCACCAATACAAATTGCAATCTGCTTTACTCCTAAAGAATCAAGCACCATTTTATGAAGTCTTTGATAAAGAAAAAAAATAAATAATAATTAATTGATCGATCGATTGATTATTTATTTATTTGTGGACCGTTTTAACAATGACACATACCGAACATCATCATTGATAGTTGTGAGAGGGAATTCTGGCCCATATGGTTTCCCAGTTTCAGGATTTATAGTTAAAGGTGATGCAGTCCCATATGGTGAACCCAAAACATTGGCGCAAAATATGAAAAATCTTGTTGGATCAAATGCTCTACCTTTTCCAATTAGTGGACCCCACCTTAGAAAAAAATCAATTAAAAAAAAAAAATACACTTAGAACTTGATTTTGGAATTAAAAAGATAAATGGTAAAAATAAAATAAAATTTGTTGGAATGAAAAAAAAAGCATACCAGTCTTCTACATCAGCACTACCACTAAAAGCATGACATATTACCATGACATTGTCTTTGTTTTCATTCAATTTGCCCCAAGTTTTATATGCAACAGGTACTTGATATAAATTGTGTTTTGATCGAAGAGTGAATTTTGGTATAATTTCAATTTTTTGAGGATTCGTTGATTTATTGTTATTATGCATAATTATTAAGTGAACGAATGTTTAAAATTTTTTAAAAAAAAAACTGATAATTTTTATGGTCAATCTTGTGCAACATCATCATGTTTAAATAATAAATAAATAAATAATAATATTAATCCGAAAATTATTTTATCATTATCATTATTATTATTATTATTATTATTATTATAAACTGACACAAAATTTTATTTGCTCACAAATTTTACACTTTTATAGTCTTATTTATTTGTTGAATAACATTTCTTTGAAAGGAAAAAAGGCAATGCAAGATTATGCGCAACAAGAGAAAGAGTTCCATGCAGGAATTCCACCACGTCTCGTTTCTGTGTTTTATACAATATTTGATGAGGAGAAAGGGCCCAAAGTAGTATTTGAAGTTCCGGAAGGTTCAATAATTCCCACAGAGTCTTCAACTCCTATCATTGATTTCGATTCCATTTCAGAATACATTATTCCTAAACCAAAATTATGTGGACACTTGATTAATATTTCTACAGATACTTACAAAGTATTAGGACATCCTATCAATATCAAAGATGAAAATTATCCAAGAAATTTTTTTCTATTCAATCTTTGTTTTGTGTTTGCTTATAATGCTGATACTTCTAGTTATGAACCAGTCGTAAGAAAGGTTGCAAGGGTATTGACTTCCTTGGAGGTTTGGAAAGCTATTTTTTTGGATTTGAATATTCTATGATATAGTATAATACTAAGATTTTCTAATATATTGATGAAAAAGATTGAAAGCAAATTTCTATCACATGAATCAACGAAAGGTTTTATGTATAATATAATTGAACAAATATTAGAAGATCTTAACAGTTATTGTGAATGTCAAATTCCAATAAGTGAAGGTAAAAAAAAAAAATGCAAATTTTAATTTTTTTAAAAAAATATTTTGTTAGATTCTCAAATATATATATATATATATTTAATTAATGATTATAAAGATCCATCAAGTACAATCAATTTAAAATTATTCCCAACATATAGAAATCCATCAACAGTGTATGATTATCAAGTCCCTATATGTACAGTAAATCTTGGAGCATTGATGGATGCTAATTGGGATATAACAATGAAAAAAGTAGATATTATTAATATATCATGAATATATTAATGATTTTAGCACATTATTATTTATATATAATATATATGTGTGTGAATTATGTTAGATTGCAACTCGTATAAATGGAATACATCATGTTAAGAAAATAGCAGAATTAGCAGATGTTAATTATGTGCTTGCAAGAAAATGCATGGAGCATTTATTGTAATTATTAACGAATGTTAATTACATTAATTAATTGATTTATTTATTTATTTTATTAATCAATGATATAATTTGTTGTTATATTAAGGTATTATGGTTGCATTATAATTATTGATATTTTTCAGGTGAGAGATTTTTTATTCTTTAAATTTTGCATAATCATCATTTGTTTTTTTTATTTTTATTTATTGAATTTAAATATTTTTACATATAACAATTGATAGTTTTCAAATGTTTATGCGGTTAAGCCTGATATAACAAAAATAATAGAGGATGAAACATTACAAAGTGAATGTTTGTTGTATGTTAGAAAACCAAATTTAATGCCACCTTCATTTGCCAAACTTTTTTCACTGTATTGTTCACTTAAACATGGAGATACAGTGAAAGAATGGATAAAAGAAAATAAAGTGTATAACCTGAACATTGATATCAGGTAGAGGAAGTTACAATCAATCAATTAATTATTATTATATATTTACAACAATTAAATTATAATTTCTCAAAAATTTTTTTAGGAGATTTATTTCATTCGGGGTGATTAAAGGGTTTCTGTATCGTGTTCATAAATATCCAATATTACAAAAATCAATTGGTGGCAATGATAGTAAACATATTAATCTATCACCTAAATTACAAAGGTAAATAAATGACCATGTATTTGTTATTAATTTCCAAAACTAAATATAACAGATAAACTGATTAGCTATTAATAGATTGCTTAATGGTAAACACCATTATGATGAAATATGTACAATGGAAAACTGTAGCGTTAGAGAGTTGGACGAGAAATTATCCAAAATACCCGAAGTAAAATTCATATGGAGATAAGATGGTGATGATTCACATTATTTATCAGTACAAAAAAAAAATAATTACTAAAAAATATGCGGACTAGAAACTATTTATAGTAACCGCAAAAAAATTGTAATAATAGTAATTGAAAGATTTTGATTTTTTATCGCGCGATAATTTATATAAAGCCTTGTATTATTATTTTCTCTCAATTTTTAAATAATAAAAAAATAATTTTCTAAAAAAATGACATTAGTAAATTTATCAAGAACTAGGCTTCCTTCATTAATTAGACAAGGTTTATCGCCTTTGAGAATTTCTAGCGTAAATACGTTTAGGTATATAATGATTTTTTTTGATGAATGAATGGATTTTTATTGAATTCATATAACGGATAGATATATATTTATAATAATAATAGAAACTTTAGTCAAACTATACCAAAATGTCATGCTTCCCACCTACCTTCTTTAAACACACTTACTGAAGAAGAAGAACTACTTCGTGATTCAGGTAAAAAAAAAAATTCTAAAAATTTTTGAACAAACAAACAAATTGATAATGTGAATGAAGAATCAGATTAATTTTTAGCTGAAAAAAAGATAAAATAATCATTTCCAAATTGGTTTGCCTCTATAATTTATAATCAATCGATTACTAATTGAAAAAATCTCTGATGGATTTTAGTCGCGCGATTTGCACAAGACAAAATATTACCAAAAGTAAAAGAGATGGATGAGAAGGAAAAGATTGATCCATCGGTCCTTAGTGGTCTTTTTGAACAGGGTGTACGTTATCTTGGAATCACATTATCATAGCTACCAAAACACTGTTTATTTTGAAAAAATTTTTTTTAATAATATTAATAAAATATGTATGTCATAGCTTATGGGAATCGAAACAGAATCTAAATATGGTGGTGCTGAATCTTCTTTTTTGGCTGCTATTTTGGTTGTTGAAGGTTATTATTATAATGTTACTTTATTAAAAAAAAACCAAATCACAAGTAATAATTAATCAATCAATTGATTATTGATTCATAGAATTGGCCAAAGTTGATGCTTCTATCAGTGTAGCTTGTGATGTTCAGGTTATATATTTTTTTAGATAAATTATTATTTTAAAATTAATCAACAATTCTCATTGTTGTTGTAATTAATGTGATGAGTATTATTTTATTTTATTTATTTATTTAGAATACACTTGTCAACACATTATTTAATAAATATGCTAACGAAGATTTAAAAGCAAAATACTTGCCACAACTTGCAACTGAAAAGGTACTTTTACCAATAGTGATGATGATGATAATAATTATTATAATTATTGTAATTATTATATATTATGGTTAAAGTAAAAATTATTTTGTTTTTTTTTTCAAAAAAAAAAATTCATTATTGAAAGGTTGGATGTTTCTGTCTTTCAGAAGCTAGTGCTGGTAGTGATCCATTTGCTATGAAATCACGTGCTGAGAAAAAGGATGGATACTATGTTATTAATGGGTCAAAAATGTGGATTACAAATTCAAATGAAGCTGAAATATTTTTAGTTTTTGCAAATTTGGGTGAATATATATATATATATATATAATTGGTTCTAATTATATTTATTATTTTTGATTGTTGAATTTTTTTTTTTTTTTTTTTTACAAAAATAAAAAAACCTCAAGATCCATCAAAGGGTTATAAAGGTATTACTTGTTTTGTTGTAGATAAAGAAATGGGCGTTGAAATTGCAAAGAAAGAATCCAAAGTTTGTGTTATTTAATTTCTCATTATATTTTATATATATATATTTTTTATTAGAACATATTATCACAAGTTTTTTTTTGTAGCTTGGTATTAGAGCTTCTTCAACTTGTACAGTAAATTTTGATGCAATCAAGGTACTGAACATGTGTTGAGTGAATTGTAATTGTTGTATATATATAATTTTTTAATGATATATATATGTATGTATGTATGTAATGTATTGTTAGGTTCCTGAAGGAAATGTATTAGGAGAATTAGGAAAAGGTGCGTATTATCTACAAATAAATAAATATATGTGCATGTACATATATGACGTGACGTGAATGAATATTTGATATAATAATTTATTATAATTGTTGTAAATATTCAAGGTTACAAGTATGCTATTGAGATATTGAATGAGGGACGTATTGGAATAGCAGCTCAAATGATAGGGATTGCACAAGGAGTGTATGATCACGCATTACCTTATTTATTCCAAAGGGAACAATTCGGTCAACTTATTGGCGACTTTCAGGTAAAAATAGTAAAAATATAGATGGATAAAAAGAATTTGGTTGATATTAATAAAATCACCACTGAATACGACGTATATATATATATTATCTCTCTCTTTCTTTTATCTTTAATAGGGAATGCAAATGCAATATGCACAAAGTTGGTATTATTTAACAAATGTAACAATGACGATTTATTATTATTTAAATTATATAATTTTGTTATTAAATTATAATTACATGGTGCATGCGCACACATATATATTTCATCTAGTCGCAACTGAAATCGAGGCTGCCAGATTACTAACATATAATGCGGCTAGAATGAAACAAGAAGGAAAAGCCTTTATTAAAGAAGCTGCAATGGCTAAATTGTATTCTTCTCAAATAGCAGAAAAGGTTTACAATTTTTTATATAGATTTGATTTTTCAAAAAAATAAAATTGTTTAGTCTTTTACTATGGTGTGTTTGTTATATCATGATAATTTCTTTAATGTTATTTTATGTTAAATTAGGCTGCGTCTAAATCTATCGAGTGGATGGGTGGTGTTGGATTTACTACAGAATTTCCAGGTAGTTTAAAGTTTTTTTTTTACTAAAATGTAATTATAAAAATTATTTAATAATTTTTAAATAACTTTTTCTTATATGTATATATGTTATAGTTGAGAAGTATTACAGAGATGCAAAAATTGGTAAATACTCACAATATTTATTTATTTCAATCACTCAATCATTTATTTATTCAATCATTTATTTATATTAACATTTTTGGTTTTAAAAGGTGCAATTTATGAGGGAACCTCAAACATTCAATTAGTCACAATCGCCAAAGAAATTAAAAAGAAATATACATCATAAAAAAAGGCATTGATAATATATATATTTTTTATAAAAAAAATGATATAAATCTTTTTTCCAAACTTGTTTCAACATTTCTTTTTTCTTTTATTTATATTTAATATTATAATAGGATAATAAATTTAATAAATTTTTAGACAAATATATATATTTTTATGTATGTGTTATCATTCTTTATTTCCCAATTTAAATATTTATTTATTTTTTCCAATTTACCTTTAAATAATCATCATTAGTTTCAAGATCATAGCTAAGCAAATTGTAGTACATCATGTGTGTATCAATCTATCAATATTAAGTTTTCTTAAATGAATGAAAAGTAATTATTTTTTTACACCAATTGATTGATTACATGTGGTATTGAAATTATTAAATCTCCCAAATTTTAATGTACTGGTGTTAATGGTTTAGGTAGGATTCCTGGTGTGAAATTGCCTAAATTAATTATTGATTTATTATTTAATGATTTATCTCTATTAGATCAAAAGGAAACGAACGATAAAACATCAGTTGATTGATTTTTATTATTTGAAACTTAATTTTTTGATATATTTATTTTTTGTAAATGTTCTAATTTTGAAACTTTACGTAAGATTGATTTGAATCGTTATTATAATTGACATGACTATTCAACAACAACAACAACAATATGATAATGATGATTATTAGAAAGTTTCAGTCCCAAATTTTTTTTTTTTTTTTACCAATATGGTGGCAATTACTGCAATTTTAATTTTAGATACATTATAAAACGTTGGTAGTGCGCATCAAAATATTTATTTATATATATAAGATAATATTGTTCTTATCAATAATTACATTTTGATAAAGACGTGTATTAAATGATAAATTATAGATGAATGAATATAAACATATATATAATAATTTGTTGTTGTAAAAAAAATTATCCACTATTACCCATTAATTAATTACATATACATATTGAATTTTATAATTAAAAAGATCAATGTTTTTGATAAAATGTTAATTCATCAATCAATTTCTTTTGCACTAAGTAAATAAAAATTTATTAGTATTATTATTATTATTATTATTATTATTGTTATTATTATTTAATAATAATTAAATATATCATACAATAAAATTTATGACACCTACAACTGTTATATTTTGAAGCAATATCTTTCTTTTTTACAATGTGTTTGAGATATGGGACATACTCTAATTGCCATATTTGGTCATTCTTAACTTTTTAAATAAAATACGTATATATTATAAATATAATCTAAATATAAACATAGATACAAGATATATAAACAAATGATTGATCAATCCACCTCTGTGTTCCTTTTTATAAGTCGCGTTTAATATTTCTTGATATTCCATATGTTTTTGACGTTGAATTCCAAATGTATCAAAATATGGAGATCTTTTAAATCCTGAAAAAGAACGATTGAATGGTACCTTCTGTATATGTGCAAAATATAAGCTTCTGGTTGCATACAAAACAGCACACGATTTTAAGGTTTCAGAATTCTAGATGAGAATATTATATTTTGCATAAAACAATAAATATGTAAATACATGCACACAGATATATATACACATGGATAGATAGACCATTCATTACTAACCATTATCTCGCCATTTCTAGTTAAACAATCAGATCTACTTAACCTCTCAGCTGCAAATGCTAATTCTGATATATTACCAAAAGAATTTATATAATTGTTTTGCAATAAATCAAGGTAGAAGTCAGAGTCGGTATCAAGATTATCTAAAAAAACCTATATAAGAATAAAGATAAGTTTGTTATAATAATGGAATGCAAGATTGTGAAAAGTTTGATAATATACTTCAGGCATTATTTGAATAGGATGTCGATCAGGCATCTCATCAGGTGCGACTTCTTTCCCCATTAACCTCCCAAGTTTGATACTTGTCTCATCACCACCAAAAACATTAGGTTCAGCTCCTATATATTTTTAATGCAAAATGGTTAAATGGGAATAATAATTGACTTTTTTAAAAAAATAGACATGTAACTTACTGAAATTGTATAATACATTTCTAACAGCAGTGTATTTGTTTGTTAAATTATCACGAGATAAAGTATTTAATGTTGTGTCGCTGATAATAATGATGATTTTTGGTCAAATGGAGCAATAGTTTATTATTATTATTATTATTATTATTAATATTATTAAGAAATACTTACACCAATTGTTCTATTTCATAGTTGACGTTTACTGTAAATTTTGATGATGATGCAAAGTTATTTGGAGACGTGGGACTTGCATTTACATTATTTGTATTATAAGTTTTTAATTTTTTCGGAGACCTTGACAAAACATTAGTCATTGATGCTGCAATTATTTCTTCCTTCACTTCTTTGGGTATTTGTATGAGGAAAGATTCCAAAAGATTAATCGCTCCCCTCAGATCACCATTTGACCTTTTTTCAACTAAATGAATTAACTGCAGCGATGCCAGCCTTTTTTGTTGGTCGTTTCTATATTCATTATTGGCATATTTTTGAAGAGCATCTATCATCAAGTATTTTGGCACAGCAGGAAATCTAAAAATATAATAAAAGGTTCAATTATAAAAAACAAACAAACAAACAATCAAACAATTTAGTGAATGTGTCGAATATGAATTATGATTGCAGCTCCAAATTAAATCATTATCACTACTTACTCGATGCACTTGGATTTTTCTGATCTAAGAATATTTGGTGTGAAAAAAGTTCTCATATTGATATCTTTAAACTTGTCCTGTTTGCCTGTATAATCATTGCCAGTATCATTGATTCGAACGTCCGTGATTATGAATACTATAGGAAATTTTACAGTTTTACTATCTAAGTAAACTTCTATTACTTCATTAAAAATTTTATTTGAATGATTATGAGTGAAGGCTGACAAATCATCAAAAAGCAATATTTGTTTTGTGCATCCATTTTTGAGAGCTTGATTTTCTATCCTTCTACTGAAATATGTAAAAAATGTTGAAAGGCCATCAAAAACCGATTCAAATTCTTTTTTTTTTTTAAAAAAAAATTATGACAATAATGATGATGATGATGATGATGATGATGATGATGATAAGTATGGATTTAAATTTAAAATGTTGTTATAAAGAAACCTTAATTTGTTCATTACCTTCACTATTTTGAAATTCCGTCCAATCAACAATATGATAATTTCTTTTTTTACAGACATATTTTATTGTTGACGTTTTTGAGGTGCCAGTTGGGCCACCTATTACTAACAAGTGGACGCCTTGTAATATTTTCTATTTATAATTTTTGATAAATTTTAATTTAGATAAAAGATAAATCATGAATTGCCATTATTGTTGTTGTATAAGTGAACTTTTACTTTTTCATTAGTGTTTTCAAAAATCTCATAAAGTGCTCGATCAACCTTATTGGCTTGATCTTTAGAGATGTATTTTTCCTAAATATTATATATATGATAAAAGTAATTGATTAAATTAATTAATTAGAAGTCCATGTCCATATTAATATATTAAAAAAACTAACTTCAGACGGGAGATCCAATTCGTTTTCAAGTTTTCTTTTACCTTTTGGTTTAACTTGCTATACATATATATGTATTTATGAATTATTTTTTTTTTAGAAAAATAAATCCATCAGTTGGCTCTAGAAATCAAATAGGTAAATACCAAATGTTTAATTCCTCGATTTAAATCTTCCATTATTATAACAATAATAATTTATAATAAATGACGCGTCAATAAGGTAAAGTAAAAAACCGAGGTAGTTTATATAAAATGGTAAACTTTTGTTTTGGAGTTTGTTCCCACGTAAGCTCTTGTTATAGTAATAGTGAAATGTAAGGGGTAAGTGAACATGCCATTCAAATAATTCACACATGGGGCCTGGTGTAAATGTATTTAAGATACCCGGATGGATGTTTACGAAAGAAAAAAAGGCTAACATTAATGGCAAATATTCGAGAATGACCGATCTAAAGAACAAAAAAAAAGAATGTTATTGCCACTTTCTTTGTCAGCAATCAAATCTCTCAGTAACAACCCCTGCCTGGCTTGTTAATCTTTTTGTAGCTAGACATAACAATTGTTTGATAACCAATTGGAGGAGGACTTGAATTTAAAACTTGTTTGTTGTGTAAATAACAAGAATAAGAAACCAGGGGCAATTATTAAACGATAATTAATATGAATCTATTATCAATTAACAGTGCCATGAAGACATATAAGCGAGAAGGGATCTTTTATTATTGCAGAGTGAAAGAAAGAATTTAGAACTGTGAACAATAGGTGCTTATTTAAGATATATCCACGAATATCACAACTTCTCTTTCAACTCTTGTTTTATTTTAACGGTTCGTAAAAAAGGAACCAAGCCTTGCTCGGAGATAGCGGCACTAATTAACAGATTTAAATCGTCAATATTAAATAAATATTAATTTAAAAATTTGAGGAGGATATTTAGACACTTTGCGGGTTTAATATATCAATTCGCTGACTTTATTATGCATTCGCCAGGAATTTAAACTTTGTCAATAATAAAATCACTTTTTTTTATTACAAACTTTGGATTTTCCACATATAATAAAAGAAAGGAATGTATGGTTCTCGTTTTGTGATTATACAGAAAAGGTTTTCATTTAAAGTAATTTTAGCATTTTTCTTATTCTTTTTTGTCCCAAGTAGATAAAATGTATTACAGCTAACCCAATTATAGTTATCAAATTTACATTCCCAATGAAGAAATTTTTTCAACCAAAAAAAATATCACCTTTGTTAATATTTTTCTTATTGTTGCTGCTCTACAGTAAATTGAATCAATTGAAATGTATTTAATTCTCAATTTTTACATCAAGATCTCTTTATCTAGATCCGTGCTACAATATTTATTACAATAATTTAAAAGCCTGCCTATGTGAAATGACCTCTAACTTAAAAACTACTTCCAGGTAACTTTTTCATCAATTACTATTGCCTTTGAGTCAAAAGTATCTGCACAGATAGTTGCATTAATTTTCATTTAATTTTTTAGTAAAAAAAAACTAATTATTAGTTAATATCTATTTCTATTAAATTGTGCGTAGGTAGATATGTGTTATGATGGTTGAGGAGATGCTTGACCAGGAGATGCCTGATCAAGTGTTTGACCGGATGCAGTGTTGTGCAATTGGAAAATTGTAACACTATTGGTTAACTTCATTGGAACCACATTTGGAATGTTCCAATTCCAATTGTAATTTATTAGAATGCTCCAATGAAATTTTATTGGAAGCATAAATGGCACAACACTGACCGGATGTTTGACAATAAAATATCAAAAAAATTTTTTTAATGTTAAGTTAAGTTTGAATGGAAGGTCTGTGTTCAGTTCGTTATGAAAAAACTTGTCAATCTTGACCAAAGAAATACAAATAAGGAAATTGTTTGTATAAAAAACTATGAACCTTTCTTATATATTTGTATATTATTATCTTTAGTTTTACAAATATTATTCGAATTTTTAATTGAATTTAATTGGATAGAATCAAGTAGGGATATATATTTAAAAAGGAAAAAAATAAGAATATTGTTATTTATGATGATCTTATGTTGTGATCCATTTTTATTTTAGTTACATATGTAAACTTGATAAGTTGGTCATTTGATAAGTCAGTTTACTCGATAAGTTGGCCAAAATTTTCACCCCATTTTCTTAATATTTAAGTAATTTAATTTGTTACTCGATAAGTCGGTCATATGGGACAGTCTCCAGCAAAAACCACCTCCGAAAAATTCTGAAGAATCCTGACGGGGCTTTTCGGAGCTTTATTTTCCCAAGAATATTGTGGTTAACTTTTTCATACTTCCAAATTTAATACCTTATAACATGTTGAACTTTTTTTTACTAACACGCAGTATGCTGTTAATTTGATGCTCTTCAGAAAATGAAGTTCCGAAAAGTTCCATCAGGATTCTTCGGAATTTTTCGGAGGTGGTTTTTGCTGGAGACTGTCCCATATGAGCTCACCCCCACATGACCGACTTATCGAGTTTACATATGTAGTTAGTTAGCGCAAGAAAGAAATTAGTTGGGATTGGTACTATGCTTTGTTATCTTTTTTTGTTTAGAGAGTTTTAGAAGTGATAATCATTCGCTGATTTGAATTCTTTTTTTAGAAAAAAAAACTCTTTTTGGAAAATTTGAGGTTCAACACATTTTTTAATAGTGATAGCAATTTCTTCTTTCTCTCTGCAGAGCTCAGCAAGATAGTGAGCAGCTAGTGAAAAATCACTGTTTTTTAAACTTAATTTTTTGGGAAGAAATATTTTGTTTTTGTTGGGTAGTAAATTAAATTTTTTTTTATTTTTCTGAAATCAATATCAATACACTTGATGATCTATGTTGAAATTGAAATTTGAATGCCTTGTCCATGTGATAAATGTTTTTTACCATTTATCATGCAAAATAATAAAATCTTTTTTTCCAAGTAACTCTTGCAGTGGCACTGCAACTTATAGAGTTGGGGAAGATGAATTTCAAGATTTCACTTTCAAAGCCTTCTACACAAGTGACAACAACAACAATATGATTGCAGAAATCTTCAAATCAAGTATTTCTTTAGTTGTTGGATGTCTCTCACTTGAAGGTGAAGGATTATATGTAAGTGTGAAATGTAGCTCTTTGATTGAAAAACTGACATTGCATCTAAACTATATAAAATATTTTCAAAAATCACAATGCTCCAGTATGTCCCATTAAACATTCTAACTATTGATGATCAAGCATCCAAGTATGACCTTCCTATTTCATCAGCATTCATGGTTTTCACTGCTCCAATTCATGATATACCTATTGCAGAAGGGGGACAAGGCCATATTCAGACTAAAAAAGGATAATTATAATACAATCACATCCAACCATATTCCAACATCAGTTATATGTAAATATAACCCTGCTGGTCGATTCTCAAATGTTAAAGATGCAGCAACATGACATCCAATTTTTTCAGTCAGTGATGAACCTATTCCTCTAAAAAAATCAATCTGCATACTCCCTGATGTCATTGAATGGAACTATCCTCTCCCTGATAACCAACAAGCACAACAAACAAATGAAAGGGGGAATCAGCTCTCATCACCAAGTAAAAGACAAAGAAGAGAAGAATTAGAAAGGACAGTGCAAAAATTTGAAACAAGGCAAACAAGCTATAGAAGTCCTATCACCACCAGTGGGTGGAGTCAAAGAACAAACCAACAAAACAGTCCTTCAAGACATGATGTATTAAGCTCAGCTTTGAGAAGCATGCAAAGTAAACTTTTGACCTTAGTGCTTAAAATTTGAAAAAAATGATAATAATTGGTTTTTTTTTATATGGGGCATACTGCAACAAAACCAGACAAAGTGAACATTGGTATTACCAAGAATTTCAGGGTTCAAATTTAGTTATTATCATCACAATTAGTTTTATAATGTCCCATTTGTTAAGTGATATATAGAATTGCTCCTATATAAAAATAGTTAATATGA